CACACACACACACACACACACACACACACACACCTGCTTTCTATATCTTGCCCTCTGAATCAATCCATTTCTTCCCTACAGCATAGTCGTACAGGAAGTAACCAATTTGATAACTTCCTCTTAAGGGAAGACTTCTCCGTTTAAATTGGGCGACACACACACAGACACTTGTGTGTGAGCAACCTGCTCTGCCAACAAACGTCTCCTATTAAATCCCTGCACAACCTCCCTCTCCCTCTCTGTCCTCAAGGTGATCACCGATTTGACAGCACTGAAGATAGATGAAGCAATCTAGCGGATGCCTCCCCTTCACCAAGCTCCCTTTCACTCAGATCAGTGATCAGTGAGGACAAAGGCAAGTGGTGGGCGGGTGGAAGCCAGCCCTGCAGAAATCAAGCTACTCGATCTCAGTAGTGTAAAAGTTAACTTCTTCCCGTGGCCTGTTACTTTGCCAGCGCATTAAGGTAATGGAACACTCAGGCAGGTGAGGAAAAGAGAAGCAAATGCAACACTTCGAGAAGATGATAGGTAGTAATGAAGTCAGGAGCGCAAAGCTAGAATTGAATGTGATGATGTACTCGAGCAACTGAAGTGGTTTCAGTCAGCAAGTGTTCAATTGCCAAGTTTTAGGAGCTGATTTTCTGCAAGGATTCAACAACAGAGGCCATACTGTTGACAATGACATTAGAATATCACAACAGATCAAAGTTTTCTATAATATCCTCACAGCGGTGGGTTTTTAAACACTAATACATAAAGCAGACACATAATTGTATTCTTAACAGAAATGACAAGGGCCACAGTGACCTACCAGTCACAGTAGCCATGTTGGAGCTGATTGCAAAGGACTGGGATGTGGCGCCAGCAGCATCTGATGCACTAATCAACAGCTGGAGGTACTCCAGGGCATCGGCGTACTCCCTGAGGATGAACACACACTGAATGGTTATTTTGCTGCCTCATCATCAACATGTAATGACAATTTCAAAAACGTACTCTATCTTCCATAGTGTGTCACGCTATACTTATTCTTAATGTTGTTCTCCTTGATTGTGTCTATTCAAACCTAAATTATGTCCAATAGTAAATCAACCATGATGGTTTAAAAATCGAAGTAGTGTGAAAAACAGCTATCTGGAGGTGTGTTCGGTTTTCTCACCCCTCGCCCTGGCTGGGACTCGTCTCTCCATGAGGCTGGGCCACACAGTACAGAGCCTTCTCCAAGAGGTGCTCTCTGAATGCCTGAGTCACCTGGGCCAGAGGATCCACTGCAATAGTACCAGCAAACCATGTTATTATGGGATAGACATATTAGATAGGCTTCAGATGACAGATTTCCAGAGGTTTCAAAGTCACTTTGACATTACAAGAATAAAGTTGCACATTAAGTGTGTCAATTTTGCACACAGACCTGTATTGCCAGCCTGGCTGTAGATGCTTTCTTTGGGAGTACTGCGAATAGCCCAGTCCCCATCCACAAAGAAGCGGTGACCTAGTGGGTGACAGAGCCACTGCATGGCTGGAGGCACGCTGCCACTGGAGGACAGGCACGCCTGGCGGGCGCTGCTCAGGAAAGCACGCTATGACAAACAAAAGGTTGAGTTAACTTCTGCATTCTTATTTCCTCAATCAGAGGAGTGTGAACAAAATCATACAGCTTATTCATTAGAAATAATGATTTGGTTAAGTGTAGTTTCATTCATTTTAAGTTGCCAAATCCCAGTTAAGTTAAAAACAATTTAACTAAATGTTAACTCTGAACTGCTTGCTGTTTAAGGGTGTTTAAAGACCAGGGGGACTTACAGAGGTGAAATGCAGGATCCTGGGCAGACTGGCTTTGACCCGTAGAGCTGCAGAGACATAGACCTCAGCCAGAGTGGCTACAGGCAGACAGGAGCCAGAACACTCTGCCAGGTTCACTGCACTCAAAGCCATGTGCACTGCTGACAGGTGGCTGCCATTCAATTTACCTGTGTGCATGGACAGATTTGAAAAATGTACAGTTATAGAGAACAACACTGATGCAATAATGATAAAAGAGCTAAAGTGGTCAGGTGATATTCACTGAAGCCAAAGGATTTTGAAACCTTAGTCTAAACCTTTTGTTGGCACCGAGAAAAGATAAGCTTAACCTCGCAGGAAAAAAGGGGGAAGAGTTTCTATGAATTCCCTGAGATTTTTTCACTTCAACATGCCACCAAACGGTGTTCACTCTACCACAATGGCTTAATCCACAAAAAACAGTTTTTTTCCCACCAACCAACCTGTCATATGAAGCTGGTGCAGGCGGTGGTAAACCAGGGCGGCGTCACGGCTGCTTTTGCAAGCATCCTCCTGCAGGGGGCGGTCAGAACGCAGGCCTCCAGCTCTAGCAGCAAGCCATCGGCCCACCCAGACCCGCTGGAGGCAGAATCTTAGCAGAGACCACAATGCAGCACAGGCCAGGTCCAACTGGGAGATGGGTAAGGGGCGACCTAGAGCCTTTAGACATGTCCACAGGTTCTGACTAGCCTGAGCAAAGTCGCCCTGGGGAAGGTAAAAGAAACAAAGTCAACAAGGTTGAACACAATTTTATGGACATGGGTCCTACTTTTTGAATGAAATGAAAATGAAATGTTTCATATTTATCAACAGAAAAAATACATACTCTAGCAAGGTCCAAGTCAGCCTGCTTGCGGTGCCTCCAGAACAAAACAGAGGATCCAGAGTGGGGTCTGGTTATAGGTTCTCCATACACCAGCAGACGGATCAGAACCCCAGACACCAGAATACCATTCAGCAGCCACACAAGTATAGTTGGAAGCATCCAGTCCATCCAGCCCCATGAGTCCGCTATGGAGGACATAGTAAAAATCGTATTATATGTAACAGTGTCCTATGTTATAAAACATTAAATGAAATTGTAGGCCTACGCTCCCGTCATTTATCCATCCGTACCTGCGATATTCACACCCAGAACGCTCCTGCCTGCGTGATGGGCTGTGGTGGCTGAAGTGCTTCCAGCTGAGCTGCTGCCGGATGAACACAGCAAAGCAGCCAGAGGGTTGAGAGAGAGGAAAAGAAAGGTGAAGGTGCAGAGCGCCATGCGGGAACGATCCAACATTCCGCCAGCACTGCTGCCTGCGGTCGATGTGTCCAGTGCACCCACATTTGGCTGGTACATAGAAGAGAAACAAATGTGTGTTTAAAAACAAATACTGATATTAAGAGCCTCTGTTTAGGCAGCACCATCAATGTGACAGAAGTATAGACTGTGACTACTTCGGTTTACAGAGCCTTTTTTAACTCGCTTCATTTTAACTCTATATGTATGTACAGAGCTACAACACAATTCAAACGCATCAGCTTATGGCATTAAGGTGCTGAGATAACAACAAACCCAACCCCTCATCTAATAAGAAACACCTCTGCTGACTGCAGTTTAGCAGATTCACTGAGAGTGGCATACCGTGGTCTCTTCCCCCATCGGGCTGTCGGGCTCTGAATCACTGCCACAGTGTGAGAAGGATGTCGGAGAGCCCACGTCAGAAGCTGGTGGGGTTGGCAGCTCGTTCTTCACATCAGCCTGTCCATCTACCTCCATGGCAACCAGGTCTTTGAGGGACTCTGAAGGAGGAGAAAAGGAAAGATGAGAAGGGCATTTACTGGGGGTCAATCAGTGGTATAAAAGCTAAGACATCTTCAGCCTTAACTCCCACTTACTTAGAGGGGATAGAAGACTATTTTCACATCGGTCATTTCAGGAGAACGGTAGCTATCAATAGACCTCATCACAAAAAGGTCAACCGAATGACTTACTCTGAATGAATTCAAACGAACTGTCGGCAAACTGTTAAGAAATAAAGAAGAGAGAAAGACTTGAAGCACGTACTGTTTTTCTGGGCAACCATTTTAAGAGCCATGTTCTCCTGCTTGAGTTTCTGGTTATTCTGCTGCAGGTAACGGATGTAGTCGATGGCTTTCTTCAGCACTGCAGACTTGTTGAGCTTAGAGGAGAAGAAAAAAACAAGATCGACTGAAACCCAATGCTAAACATGACGTCATGACAGAGTTACACAGAATACAGATACAAGAAAACGTCAGCAATACCCTGATACGATCCAGTTTAACTAGTATCGGTACAGTGTTTTAATAAAGTGTTTTTACTACGAATTTCATCAATCCTCTGTTTCCACTATAGCATAGTTGTCAACAAGATGAGAGGCATGGCTGCTTATACAAGACCTATTGTTTGTTGACAAGGCAGACGCAAGGTGAAAAATATGGCATTATGTTGATTACAAATGCGACAGTCAAGGCCCATCTGTAAATATGTTTTAGAACTAGGTGCAGAATGGAGCCAACATGTAAGACTTGGCAAAGCATCTCACTAAAGACACGCAGACAGAGACGGGACAGTGAGTGTGACGGATAAGAAATAAAAGCCAAACCATTAAATAAGTCAATCGTGTGTAAATGAACTTTTTTAAACATCAGAGATTGATGAGGAATTTAAGGGCGATAATATCTGTTCAATGTGACTCAGTCTTTGTAGCTAACTTAGCAAAATGGCAAACAAAAAACAAAATATGATGATAAATGTGATTCTTACCTTGGCCTCAGTACCAGCCACCAGATCTTTGAGCTCCACAATTTTGTCATTGATGGAGGAGCGGTAGCGCTTCTCGATGGCGTTGTGAGCAGTGCGCTTCTCCCCCTTGTGGGGCAGGCCAAGCGGCTTACCGCTGATGGCAATGCGGTTGATTGGGAGCTTGTCAGCATCCACCATGACTGGCACGGTGGTCAGGATAGTGCCACTGCCCATAAAAGCCTGATGGGAGGAGAAAAGAGGAGAGAGGAGATAAGGAGTTGGAAAACTGACTGGAAACCTTTTTGTCATCGCAATCAACTTTATTTATTAATCACATTCTTAATATAACATGGCATTTAAGATAAAAATATTTAACAGCATCCGAACGCTTTGTTTCTTATCGTACTCCCTAGTAATGGCATTGATAAAAAAAGAACATTTTTGAGGTTTGCTGTGGATGTAACTTAAACAACATGTTTAAGGCAATGTCAATACCTTAAACAAGGTGAACTGCATGGTGTTTGCATTGAGTTAACATTAAACACAAGGTCCCTACTTGTATCGAAGTGCTTGTTACTGGGGTGGTGGTGGCCAGGGACGTGGGGGAGGCCATAGTGGTGACTATGCAGGGGTCATGTTTCAGGGTGGTCAGCAGCAGAGATTCTGCCTTGATGAACTGGGGCTGCAACAACACCTGAGAAACACACAGTTAACACACATAACATACAAACAAAAGGCAACGCTGCATTTATTTTGTTTGTGCCTGTTCAGTGAAGCTCAGTCCCACAACAATCACGCTCACTTACCGGTACTTGCTGCACGTGTTGTGTGATGGTTTGTGTGGGCTGGCTTGTTGTGGTGGCCAGCAGAGGACTGGTCGTGGTCAGACCCTGGAGCTGATTCTGGATGGCCACTGGCTGAACGCTTGGAGGTGAGGATGATAAAGTGGTGGTGGGTTGGCTGATGCTGATGGGGCTGGCAGCTGGAAAATAGTTTTGCAACAGATTCTTTCAGCCTTAATTAAAGCACAGATAAAAAATATCCACAGAAACAATTTACGTCATTACGTGTGTTTTTTTGGCAACTACACAATAGCAATTCTTTTATAAAACAAACAACAAACATTCTACAGCTCAGGAAGTAATTGCTAAATTTATTTTACCTAATCTTAGGGGGTCAGAATTACAGTTTGTTGTTTGAAGAATTACGCAAATTAAAAACCTCTGTTGTAATTTTATAATTGCACAATGATTACACACAATTATTGGTTATTGCTGCAACTCCAAAAGTAAGAGGCTCTTTTGCTACACTTCACACTGATTAAGCCTTTGTCTATGGATTTGTAGGCCAATGGGTGAACTGCAATCTCGTTGGATATTAGTGAGAGCAGCATTCAGTGTGTAGCCTTATCTTTCTTATCAGCTCCGACTGGGCTGGTGATTGCAATGACCTCTCGGTGTCTGGGTTGGGGAATTTTCCCAAGTAATAAAAATGTATTACATCAAAAAAAAAGGGTTTTCTTCCATTAAAACAAACAGCAACAATCAGGTGTCAAGAGTTTGCTGTGTACATGTCCGCTGCCTATCTCTTACCTTTTCAACTATATTCAAACAAAGATATTAAAAAATATAGTGCAGACGTGTACATCTGCAATGGGAGTTGCCCATAAAAAGCATTTTCATGAGCTCACCCACTCATACTGCTGAGCAAAGTCTATTAGATTAGGACTTAGACATGCGATCAGCTGAGTTAAATAACCTTGTGTCTTAGCTTGGGAAAGGTAATACACATGAAGAGACACTTCGCTGGGCACTAGAGCTTAATTTGTGGGAGAAGCTGGACACGCACGAAAACACAAATCTGCTTTAAACTACATTGGCCCTGGTGCTGTTATCATTTAAAAGTTAATGATTGATTTTAGCTGAAGTTGGACACAAAAGACAGCTGTCCAAAAATAAAACCTGTTAACATTTAGCAGACGCATGGACAGAATAAGTCCTCAATTTACACTGCAAATCAGAGAGTGTTCCATATATACATTTTTGTTTTTAATATCTAGCATTTCCCTTTAATTTTAAACAGATGCTGTTCTACATTCTTACATTGTTTAGTCAGTATGAAGGTTGGAAAAAAATTATGTTTGAATCCTTCCCTTTGGAAATGTTCAGAAGATAAATGAAAAGATTATAATGAAAGGGCAACAGGAACACGACTGTAGGAGGACAACTGGATTCAGTGAAGCAGATTGAATACATGATGGATATAGGATTGACCCAACGACAAAGCTCAATGCCACAGCATAACAAAGGTAAAGCAACAATGACCCATGTTAAAATATCACAAGACATTTTATAGCTGTTAATTAAGTTCATTTACCTGAGGAGATATTAAGATTTTCCTTTTTCTAACCAATCTTACAGACAAAAACAGAAGCAGTTATAGACACTAGTATATGCCTTTGCCAATAATGAGAGCTTACATGTGTAGCCGTTGGGGCTGCTGAAGTTAGTCCGGGCTTGTTGAGACTGAGCCTGGGCCTGATGTTGTGTCTGTGGCTGAATGGGAGTCTGGGGTGCAGGTGAGGTGAAGAGAGCCTGGGGCGTGGAGCTGAACACTGGGCTCGTTCCAGGTGAGCCATGAGGTGAAGCAGCCTGGGCTGGAGCAGTAGAGCTGAGAATGGGTTGTGGCTGCGACACCTGAGGTTGTCTGAGGGCCTGAGCCTGCTGCGGGGACGGCGGCTGTTGCCTTGGTATGGAGATGGGCACCTGGGCCAAGGGGGACTGCTGGAAAGTGGGGGGCTGGAAGGCCTTGTCTGGGGTGGTGGAGCTACGGGTGATTGGTGGGCCCAGAAGTGCATCCAGGTGGGGGTTGCTGCTTAGGATGGAAGAGGAAGATGGAGGTGTGGTGGTGGTGGTGGTTGGAGGGGCAGCTGGTGTAATGGACTGGGTCAATCCAGGAAGCTCTTGAGAGGGTGGGGGCCCTGTGTATGGTGGGTTATCAAAGAGTCCTCCAAACTCCATGTCCTGGTTGTTGATGAGCTGTAGCATATCTAAAAATGAAGACAAAATAGAACCACCATCACTTTTATTCAAAGAAGAAATAAGAAATAATTTTGGTGCCCATACACATTAGAAATCAACAAAGCCTCCAGGTTGTTATCAAATGCAGTTCTGAAAGACAACTTTATAAGAACTAGTTTTCAGTTTGTCTCACTGATTCCTGAAAACAACCATCAGTATTCTTTAATGTCTTTTCTATATTGTTTGTCCAATAACAAACAGGAATTCCAATATGTAACTGCATTCTTATCTGCACTGCTAGGTACCCATGCATCAACCCTCAATAAAAGTGTTTATGAAACCACAGATCAGACAAAGCTCGCAAAAGTAAATAAAACATAGTAATCAGCAAATAATTAAAAAAACTACATCATGTAGAAAGTACAATAAAGCAGTGATGGAACACACAAAGTACCAGCTACACATAAACTGTTTGTTTAATGTTCGTCAACCCGTGAGCTCTCAGGGCTGTGAATGGTATTCCTGAAGCTGTGGGCCTGAGTACTACAAGAATGAGAAGGCAGCTGTGACAAAGATATTGAAGAGTGATGAAACCAACTTAATTATGAACTATAGCCACTATTGACTCATGGGTTACCATTGGGGCTGGACGATACAGATGATTTTATCAGGATCAAATTTTCCTATCGATTATTATCACAATTAACATCACATAAATGTTTGTTTTAAGTTTACGGGCTGATTTTTGCTCCTGAGCTAATGGTGTGGTTTTAAATCTTCTTTAAGAGTAGACCATGACAAACAGCAAAATATGATATAAACCTGAGATAGATCAATTATGTTACACCTCCTCACTGCGATCGCACAATATCAAACGTATAGTGAACCTTTGTAATATTGCTACTGGTGAAATGTATATTGTGATAAGCATTTATATCTATTATTGCACAGGCCTAGTTCTTATAAGCACAATGAGCAGAAATGTGTGTGCTAAAGTAAAAACTGATATGAGAATTACAAGGCTCAAAATAAAAGTGGTTGCACTGAGCTCATTGGTTTATACAGGGTACTTTTATTCTGGCTCTGGAAAGAAGCCAACGACACTAATAAAGTCTCACATTTTGACCTGATTAAAGTCATCAGGGCTTCACAGCAATAAATAAAAACAGAATCCCTAACACTCTTCCCGCTGAGTGTTGTGTCTGCAGCAGCAGCAGCCTGGATTTGTAAGCCAGTGTTTTGGTATGAGGTGATCGCTCTTGACCAATCACAGCCCGCCTCGGAGACTTGCTATGCCGATCAGCCCAAGACAGGAAAGAGCCTGTGTGCAGCTTCACACGAGGTTACCATCGAGCAGCATCACCGAGGGTTACTGGCGGTCAAACGCAGGAGGATGGGGAGGATGTGCGCCGCGTCCCCCGGCTGTTTACTCAGCTTATCACCGGCACACGCTGACTGTTGTTTTAACAGCATATTGGCCGATTACAGGGAAATGTCCCGAAAACAGAAAATATAACACAACGGATGCGGGATTAATTTAACACGCATTTTAATCTTTCTAAAAAGGACGTGTGAGAAAGGATAAGTAAATATGCGCAGGGCTTTGGTGAAAACAGTGTATTGATTCCAGGGACAATACAGCAGCATGCAATTTAAAAAAACAATATGATTTTATAGTTTTAAGGGCTAAATGAATCCATCACATGAGAGCGATCGGTGAACTGAGGCTAGCTGAACTCAACAGAGAGGAATGAACGGCAGTAACCTCTGTATGTGGAGCAGCCTGGGGGCGGGGCACACTAGCCACTATTTAGCACCACATTATTTTCACTTCCATTAGTCTGAGCTGTTAAAACCAAAATCAAATTAAACCCACTCTGATGAACCTGTTGTTCTTAATGCACAGTAAAACAACTTAGTGTATGTCTGGTCTGGTAAGACCGCCGACATCACCCGTAGAACACCAGCTAGCTCTGTGTTTAATGTTAGCTAGTGTGGCTAATTGATAATATCCCTCGCACGCTACGAGCTAAAAGCTGTTTTGGTCAATGCTGTTAACTGTGAAAAGTGAAAATGGAAGCTGGAGAACACGAGAGATAAGTCAGAGTGATGAATGGAGCAGCCGGGCAGTGACAGGCTGGGGTTAGCAGGTGTTAAACCCCGGCGGGGCTAGCTCACAGCCGCCGTTACGTTAACTTACAATCGATGTCGCTCAGCAGGGCCGTGTCGATTTCGCTGGGATCGTTGAGCGTCAGCGTTGGATCCAGGTTATCCAGCGAGGGATCGTCAAAGGACCGGCTGTCCATCTTCACTATAGTGTCCGTCTTCCCAGTGTGGACTGTGACCGGCTGTCGAATCGCTCAGATGAGGGCAGGTAAAGAAAAAGGTAAACGCGTCTTTCCCTACATTAGCCAAAGAGCCAGGACCCGAGCGGAGCTGAAGCACGATGCGTCCACTAGCTCCTCAGGCTGAGCGCCATGATCGCGCAGAGAAACTTGTCAAACCGAGTAAAACACTGAGGCTCATTCAGCGGTCACTCACTAACGTGGGTGCCGAGCTACACCCGCCCAGCCGGCCCATGATTGACAGGCGCGTCGGCCAATCGGCGCAGTCGAAGTGGGTTTCCCACGTCCCCTGTGTTGACTGTGTGACTGAAGAGGAGACAACATGTGGAGCATGCGATCATAATAATGGATGACAGTGCACAAAAAGACAATATCAATGTAATGAACACACTGATGTGATGGATCAATTGTGCCTGAATGGATCTATTTGAAAAGCAGCATGTCATTTATTTAAACACAGAGTACAGATATTATATGCTACACAATGCAAATGCAGCCCCCTACCACCCGATTCCCCATCGACCATATTCTTCAGGGAACTGTGTTTTTATTGAGGAAAAGCAGCGTGCATGTGTTTATCGTGGGCTTGTCCCCCGGTAGCCAATCAGAAACGAGCGGGCGTGGGCAACCGGAGTGTCAAGTTTGTTTGACGCGGAGCCGTGGCACCTCCTGTAGAACCAGAGAAACCGACCAATGGGAAGCCCGGGAACCGAGTGGGGTGATCTGACGTCACAACACTGAGTCTAGCGATTACATCATGTGTTTCTCTCTCTGTTGAAATGAAGTGGCAGCAACAGGGAGGTGATGTGGAAGGATGCAGGTGGGCAAAAATAATAATAAAAAAAAACCAGGAGGTACATTTTCCATATTTACCCAATAAATACCTGCCTCTGAAAATAAAAACAACCAACAACCCTGTCATTGCTGTTTATACATTTCATTTATCTTTAGCACTGTCAGTCTGACTCCTGTAAACAACACACTTAAATAACTAATAATACAAAACAACAAACTTTTCAGATCAGCATCAGTTGAATATAGTGTGAACGTGCTGCCGCTTTAACACAAAGTGGGAGACCCACAAAGGCTCGATGGGGAAGTAGGTCAGTGACCTAGAGAAGCTCTGCAGAGTGGTTGTTAGTAGCTGGGAAGCAGAGTGGCATAAAAACCTTGTTGGTGATGGGGTGTGTTTGTATAAAGTCTTAGATTTGATTCGACAGTGCAACATGTGACTTACCAAAGAAAACAAAAACAGAATTAGTTTACATTGTACGTGAGGAACAGAATGGAGGAATTTCACATCAACTTCAACATGGGAGGAGGGGGTGAGAGGCTCATGTGACAGTTTATGACCAGTGCAGTGAAAGATTGACGCCAGGTTGCATCAGCACCAGCATGAAGGTGACAGAAGAAATTGACACAGACACCTTCAATGTAAAATAACCACACGCAGTTGTGAGGTAGAGGTCACACATTGCTAGTGTTTTATTGGGCAGTTATATACGTGCATTAGGTCAAACAAAAATCTGACCATCAGTAATGGCAGCAGGCGGCACAGCCAAACAGACACGGGAGCCCAACAGTTAGAAATCAAGCCTCTGTCTGCCGTGTCCACAACATATCCACTAAATGCTCTGTCTCGTCAGTATTAAAAAGACATTCAGTAACCATGTTGAGAGGAATACATGTTGCCATAAGGACTTAAGCTTCATAAAAGCAAGTAACACAATACACTCTGTTACAGATCCAGAGATACATAAACACACAAACACAGAGAAAAGTTCCCTTTTAAAGGATCTCCTGTTACATTTTTAGTCACTTTTTTTTGTTTAGTTTTCAAAAATGACACAATGGTTGATTGCTGATTTAACGCTATCATCTCAGTTACCTGGCACCCATATTGAAACTATATGTAATCTTGCTGCATTGAAGACAGTTAAAGCTCATTAATCTGTATTTTCTTCTCAACTAATATGTAATAAAATATTTAGTCCTTATGATTACATACACAAAATAATTTATATTTCCCCCCAGCAGAAGGACTATAATGATAAAAAGAAAGTTTAATTAGACTTTGACAATTTAGGAAGAGTTTTAATTGGACTGTCTAGATTGACAAGGCGTTTGGTCTTCAATGGACTGAAGGGGAAAAACTGCTTTGATAAAACAAAACAGAGCATCAGCAAAAGAGCTGGACTGAAGATGGGATTGTTTTTTGCCTCAAAGTGTGATAAGTACAGCAAAGGCAAACTCAAGTCAGAGCTACTTTGCTGAAATCAGTCAATCACACAAATCCTTGGCAGCTGCTCCAACAACAGCAGATGAATCACACCAGAATGAAAATACACTGAGCATGAAAATATGTCTTTGATGGTGTAAATCAAATGAGTGTTTGTTTGCTGCATGTTTTAGCCTGAACCACAAAAGATGAAGTGGCACAGACATGTTTTTTTCTCTTAAATGATCTATAAAAATACAATCAGGGGATCAAATAATACATAAACCTCTCTGACGTCTGGATTTAATGAGCCAATATATTTTTTACCAGATACAGAAACAAAGAATTCCTGTATTTTGAGGTGTATCGATTACATAGTATTGAGTAAGTGAAGATCTACTTATTTGAATACATCCTTTACAACAGCGCATTATTGTAAGCTACACTTTGAGTCTTGTGGTCAGGTATGATGACAGCGCAAAGATTTTTGTCTTGTCTTTATGCAATTCGTAATACTTTAAGGTTCTGCAATCATAAGTTTAAAAGTTAATCTCTCCACATCTGTGGGTACAAGAGCTGCAGTTACACAGTTAAAAAAGTTATGTTGTGCAAAACGAAGTCAATCTACAGACCATTTCCCCCTCCCCTAGAAAAATAGTAACCATCTTGTAAACACAAAGGACAAAATACAGATTTGTTTTTGCTTCAAAGTGCACAGACATGAATCATAGCAGGGGAAGGAAAATGTTCATGATCCCTTTACATTTATATGCTCGGGCGTGATTATTGTTCGACTGGCAACAGTAAGTGCTAGTTGGTCGTTAAAGCCTTTATCGTCTTTGGAATGGCTACACAAGTGTTCAATATTATATTTCTCTTTGTGGATTTGTTGTGGTCTTTTCTGACCACAAGGACTGAAAAAAATCAATGTGCATGTTCCTTCCCCTTAGCTACTTGAAATACATAGCAGAGAATCTTAACTACTGCTGTTTAGAATTTTCTCCTATTCCCTTTGGTTAAAAAAAAGCGCTGGCGTACAACCATTGCGATTAGCTGTAATTTAACTATTATATTCCCAGGTAGCAGAATTTGCCTGCTAGCTATTTTCTTTACATTGCCTCAGGCAAACTGGGTTATAACACATGTTGTGTTCTGCACATAATTCAGTTTTAAAAGACTTAAACGCTAAATAACAACAGCGCTAGGACAGAGTACAGAACAAACCATTAAACAATAAATGCATAAATTAGCAATTAGCTGAATGTAGTAACACATCACAATATTGTCATAATTGTAGGCCTACATACTGACTCAAATGCATGGACCTGCAGCGATTCGTCTTGCAGTAATTTAACACTTTTTAAAACCACATCAGACAAATTAGGTCGTCTTCCTTTGGTGGCGTGTTACAAATGAGAAGCAGGGCCGCGAGTACTACATCCCACACTAACAATATACATGCATTTATAGTTAAATGCATCAGAGTAGTGCAGTAATGTATGTTAGAGCAACACTGACATGAGAATGACAAAGCAGAGGAGAGATCTTGCAACAACACTGCCAGTCAGCTGTGAAATGGGACTGGAAAGGCTGTCTGGTTGGGGAATCATCTAGGTCGAGTACCTTTAGGTGCCCTGGAGAGACAACAAGGTTCTCTGAGAACAGTCTACAAGGCAAAGAGGGCGTCTTCTGTCCGTTCAGCCTTCTTGTGGGAGCCACCAGATGCTCGGGCTGGGTGAGCAGGGTTAGCTCCCATGGGAGATGCGACGGTGTCTGCTGACTTTGCTCGCTCCTCCAGGAACTTATCAAACTCTGAATAAGGAAATAAATAGATTTTTCTCTTCAGTTGCCTGCGAACTATATAATAATGAATTAGTGGAGTGGGGTAAACTAATAAAAAACCCCACCTGTTTGAGCTAGTGAAACATATGCAATTGTCTACATTAATTGAGTCTGTACCTTCACTGGTCACCCCTTCCTCAGTGGGATCCCCTTTCTATTAAAAAAGAAAAAAGAAAACAGTAAAATGCACAAGTTAGCAGAAACTATTATGAACTGAAAAGTCTATATTTCAAATGACAGAAATAATCCTTAATATACACTGAGAAACAATTTGATTTACAAAGGCATCATACCACTCGAATGCCTGTCAAGTTCACACAGAGACAGATCGATACAAAGACGCTCAAGAGAAATCTGTCAGTCATGCATCCCTCACACACTTTTGGATGCAACAAGAAGCTTTCTTAAATCCAACTTCAGAACCTTCACATGCATATGTTAACTAAGATCCTATCGTCTGTTTGAACATATTAGTGCCATGTTAGCTGAAGGAGGCCAGACCTCACAATAATAAACCATTCTCCGTCAGTCATTGGTGGAAATAAGTTACGGTGAATGAAAAGACGTGAAGTTAAAGGAAACTAAACCTAACGTATCCAGTTATGAGATGGATGGATAAAGTGTGCTATATATGAAAAAAAGTGAGGGTGGGAGAGAGAGAAGCAAAGAAGATATAAATCAAGGTAAAGAAGTCTCACCACGTCAGCACAGAGCCACTCCTCTATGTCATCCATGACAGAGGACTGCGATACAGGGATCTATGGAGCAAAGCCATGGACAAACCAAGGGGCAGCACCAAAGCCACACAAGAGAAAGACACCCAACCGAAACAAAAAAACATAAAAGGCAACACACAAACACAAATAACAATAGGAATCACCAAAGGCTCAAAAGGGAAGATGATAAAAAATGAATCAAATCAAAATGAGGACAAAAACAAAAGTTGCTCTGCCAACACTCAGCCCCCCTCGACTCTGTGCTCTTACTGTTTTACCGAGTGCAACAATTTTTACCTGTTCCCTTAGACTGTCTTCTAAGGGAACAGGAGTTCCCAGGTTGTGTATTGTTCTCATTAGTTCTGTAGAGCTGACATGGCGTAACAGCTGCTGGCTAATGTCACACAGCAGTGTTAATCATTCCACATCATTAGTTAATGAGCAAATCGCTAGAACGTGATTAAGAGATTGATTGGACGGGAAAAGCTGAAAGCACAGGGACCGTCGAGGAGCAGGGCAATCCCACAGCATACACAAAAACGTGCTGCACGCACACACCACATAGGGTGCACAGAGCTTGAGCGATGCTGCATGGCGTGGAGTGACTGTGATGATGGAGGCCAATGTTAGAGTGGATGATGTACATTTGTGCTTATGGAGGTGTTGGGCAACAATCAGGACTGCTGGGAAATGGAAAAAAGAGAACTATCTAACTTAAAAAATGTTTTAAGTCCATCCTCATCCTTTCACTGCCTGTGCAAAGAATCAATGTTGACAATGATCTGATATCAAAGTTGAATAGAGGCAACAAAAACCTGTTATAAAAACACAGACGAGGTTTCTATGTGACATCACGGTTGACGCAGTGAAGAGACAAATGAAAAGACAGGCCAAGGCAGTGGGGCAGTGAAAGTCATTCACAGGAAGAATAAAAATATAATACATGCAGCTGTGTGCAAAATAAGTTGTCTATCCCTGTCATGACTCTTAAAGGTACAGTGACAAACGTTTAATCCTTTATACTTAAACATTCAGTCAAAACAGCAACATAATTGTTAAACTCTTAACTGATGATACATCTAGTGATTCATCTGTTAGTCAATCTATTTGTGTTTTAGAGAGTGAAACATGGGAGGTTGACATTAATAACATCGAATGTGTTATCACAGACTCACAAATACTCAGCACTACACAGCAAACCACCTTCTCCTATACTTGAAATTTAGAGAGCATACTATCTGTACTTAAACAGTAATCACCTTTGTTGATATGGACTTTGCTGTGTAGTGAAAGTATCTGTACTCCTCTGCTATTTTAGTGTATGACTGTTAGGAGATGGGTCTAGCTGATGGATGCTCCTGGGGACCGGTTATGCTTATTAGTTCATCCACAGAGAGGATATAGTAATGTGGAAAGCATCAGTGTAATAATGTCAATCAAATACAATAGAGGTGAGCAATATGGAAATAGAAAATCAACTATCGCAGCGCATCATGATTATTCATTTTCAGGAAAATAAAATCATTTTTGACTTATATGGTAAATGAAATACAAAATGAAGGTACTGCATCATGCAAAATTTAGTCCGTTCAGTATTTTCATCAAACTGTTCAGGCGTTGTATTGATGTATAGTCATATTGCCCAACACTAGAGTATTACAGTACAAGATATGGAGTGGGTAGTCTTAAGGGCGGAAAACATTGTTTTTTCTTTTGAGAATTCTAGGACAGAGTAGTAAGATGAAACTGAACATTAAGTGCATGGATGATGATGATGATGCTGGAGGAGGTTGGGGGTGATGGTGGACATGAGGGGAGGTTATTAGGAGGACACACTGAGGATGGAGTCCTCACCATTCCTTGGGTAATAAGCCAGCTGTCTATGGGCAGCTCCTGATCTGCTGGGTTATCATCCCCTTTTACCCTCAGCTGAATCAACAACAGAACAACACCTTACACAAGAGAAGAAAGGTAGCAGGCCCCTACCAACAGCATAGCATACAGTGCAGAGAGAGAGACAGAGGAGAGGCCAAAGATGTAAAAGAAGATTTTCATTTCAAGAGAAGGAAAAATGAAGAGAAGAGAGGAAATGGCGAAAGGTTCATTCCATAAAGATGAAAATGAGGAAAATATATAAATAAAGAAAAAGTACTGTAGTAGAAACTGGGTACCCGAGGTAACTAAAAAGGATGGTATGTGCAATCACCACTGTTTGTCTGCTTATGTGTGTCAGTATGCTTGTCAGCTCAGGTTTCAGAATCTGTGTACCCAGAGATAACCATGCAAATGCATTGCAAAGTGTGCTCAAACATGGAGAGCAACTCGGAAAATATTGAAACCAACGTGACTTCTGTGTTTGACTTTCTGTGAAAACTGTAAAGTTAAACAGAAACTGGACTAAGAAAGAGCTGATATCCATTTTGAAGAATGCAAAACCCGATTCTCTGTTTTTCAAATTACCTGCAGAAACTAATGTTTGCCTGGACAAATACAAAAAGTGACTGGTTTGGATAAAGAAACTGCAGGCTATGAGATTTTGCACCCATTTTGAGTGCCTACTCATATCAATGCTTTTATCTAAATAGCTACATGTGGGCTATTTATTATAGCTAATCAGAGCTAGGAAAAAAAACCTTAACCTCTGTTCAAAGTTTAAGTATCACTGCACATGGCAGAAATGTCACTGTAGGACAAACAGAACAGAACAGACCATTACATGCAAGAGTGACCGACGCCTAAGGACAGACTGGAACAGGTAGCCTTGACACCTTATAAAAAAACACTGCACCCAAACACCATATGGGTGAAAGATGTATCAACTACATGCTTCATTGTACTCACCCCTCCTGCATTCTGCTGTCTCACATCCAAAGCTGAGGCCAGGCCACCCAGAGCCTGCGGGTCCTCATACTTTACACTGTGCATGAAAACACAAACAAAATAGATAAATAGAAAAATTTAAAGTGCCAACGCAAGGTTATATAATTAAAGTTTTATCCCACAAGACTTTTCTTAGTAACACAATAACCAAACCCGTCTTCTATATGAACCCAGGATATACTAACAAAAGAAATAGCTCATTTTAGGAGATAAGGGGCTGGGTACGGGACAAAACAACATGGATGCCATTACCACTGCATTATAATTCGAACAGTATAAAAGTGCCCATGGGTGTATTTTATTATTAAAAGGTGGCTATGAATAACTATTTAATTGAAATAAATGATACCCTGAATAACATCATAAGAGGACCCGGGCTGCCCCAGAGGCAAAATGAAATCTTGACCTACTTCTTGCGCTGTTCAGCCAGAGAGCTACTCCTGGTCTGGGCAAACATGTCAAAGTCGTCCCGGTTGTGGCCTGATAGAGACGACAGGGTACCAGTCACGCTGTCCGAACCTACATCTTAAGTAGGTGACAGAAGAGAGGAGTAAGGACAAAATTGAGAACAATTAAGAAAGATTCTAAGAAACACAAGAAAAGGAATGAAAAAGCAGATTTTTCATCTTCAGGATTACAGACTGTTTTAACACAATTCTTCAATTCAGCAGAATGTGGCTGTGTCTACTCAACAAAATAAGAATTACAATATATTTAGGCTTTAACCAGTTCTACAGTGTGCAAAGATTTCCAGGAAACCATCAGAGGTGGTAGCCGTGAGTTATGTTGCTGGGCTTATTTCCCATTAGCAACCAGATTATAGCCTTTTTATACTCCGCTGCTTCTCCTTTGCCAAGTCTGCAGAGACTGCTGAGAAGTGAATGGATGTTACACCTCTAATGAGAGTAAGTGTAAACGACATTGTCTGTGCAGGTTAGCAACCTTTTTTTCCCATGTACAATTTTCCTACCCACTGGAAAATAATATAATTCAGTTCTTACCCAGGCCAGCTAGTGCGGTGGACAGCGATGCTGTCGTGGGGTTATGGGCTGGGGAGGCAGTGGCCCCTGCAGTGGAGCGCGGTGGAGGGCTGGATGTGATCCTGGGCGTGACCACAGCAGGGGAGCCTGGGCCCAGGTCTATCAGGTTGTCCTCTGTGGCCTCATTCAACATCTGGGAGAGGAAGAGAGGGAGAGAAAGGTGACTGTCAGCAATTATGAATGGGTGCGTGAAGTACTTGCTTTTACTAAAGGTCTGGCAGCTAATAGAGATTTGGAAATACATGAGTTTGTTGTTTCTCCTTTGTATACAGAGGAAATAGTTTACAGCTACTAAAATGCCACAGGATTGACAATTTACACAATCTAGGACAACATTGTGGGTCAGAAGCTGTGGAGTGGAGGTTAGACACGGGAACAACACAGGGGGTGAATAAACAGTGTGCAAGACTTCGGATGTGTGAGACAGGAGGCAAGAAGGAGGAGGGAGGAGGACACTGCACATCATCTAGTTTCACAGTGTAACTGATGTTGACACATCACATGGGTCTAAGCATTTGCTCCATACAACAGACGTGTTAACATTCATCACTCTGTTCATCCCCACTCTCTGGCTCGGATTGAACGCAGTGCTGGTGTGATACTTGCCTCCGTCAGCTAGCCACAACACAAACAGACAGAGCACACAGAAAGATCAACGGAACACAAACATAAACAGCTATGTGGGATGTAGTGAGAGATGCTTCAGTCCTCTAGGCAAATCGCTGATACTGGCAAATGTACACTTTAAATAGCAGATTGGATCATGTTCCACTTTGCTTGTCCAATTTTACAAAGCTAAAAATGCATGTGTATGCTATTATAATATAAGCAAATAGTCATTATGAATTCAGATACTGACACAGTAAAATAAGCACAACAAATGGCTATGTGCACTCATTTATCATTGAAACATCTCTCATAGCATCTGGAATGTTAGACAAAGTGCCACAGACGATGTAGCTGCATCAAAATGTTTCTGAAAACATGCTAAAAGCAATCACAGTAGTGGCAATCCTAAGAGAAAATGTGGGATGTTGTATTTCTGCTCCTGCATTGCACATGGAGATGCGATTGATAGTACTTACCCCGTTGTTCTGTGCGGGTCTACCCGACCTGTATCTCTCATACCTGTGAAGAAACAAAACCTTTGAGTGTTTTATCACATCCTTTGTGGGCTTCAAATGTTTATGCATCTCTCATCTTCAGAAACTTCATGAAAGAGACAGTTTAGCTGTTTGAAGCCACAGAGTGTTTTAAAAAGAAGTGAGTTGCAAAGTGCTTCAAAGGAGATGTCTAACTCCAAAATACCAAATAAAAAAATCTTTGATATGTTCAGGTATAATCACACATAGAGTATCATCTTTAAAATCAAAGTCTGAGATGCCGTTTCACCACCAACAATTATTTACTGATTAAATTCATTGGCCTAAAGTTTTGGTCTTTTTCACCTTGAGAAAACAAATCATGTCTAATTCTGCCCCCGATTTCCAAAAGAAACTAACTCCGATTTGTTCTGTTGACTGTACCTCTCATAGCGGAGGAAAATATTGTTGAGGTCGTCGTTGACATGGAGGAGCTCCTCGGTCACTTCCTCATTAGAGACGCGTGAAATCAGCTCCACCACCCTCTGTTGCATGGCCCTGCATGTCCTGTTCAGCTCCTTGATAGATTGGAACAACACCAACATATTGATCAATACATGAACTGATTAATCAATTTAGATTGAAACAGAAAAAGGGAGAAAGTGGACTGTAGAGAGAAGGACAGGCAGACACACACAAATAAGCAATTGTATATTGACTAATGACTCAACCCTGTAAATTATCTTGTCAGACACATGCACTATTATACGGCTCCATTTTGGCACAATGTGTGGAGAGCTTTGTCCAAAATGGGGAAAATTCTCAGATAATGTCTTTTACAAGGCATCCAGTGTTGAGCAAGTCAGAAATATTTGCTCGGCTGCGTAAAAATTCGGCAAAAGCTTTTTCAGAAACAACTGGAGAGAAAAGAACAAAAATCAAAGCCAGAAAAGTTTCCATGTAACAACTACAACTTGCATGGGTTCATCAGCACAAAGCCAGATCCTTGCAATTGACACAAATTCCAGAGTGGATTTGGTCTCAACAGATTAAACTCTCCATGACTTTCTATACCTCTGGTTAATTGCCAGTTCCAAGAATTGTACCGCGGCCAACTGCCACTTGAGCAGTTGAAGGGGAGTTGAGCATTTCCTCTGAAAACTAAAGGCAACACTCCCCCTAGTGGCTGCAAAATGTTTCATCTGACATGCAGCGTTGGAAAGCTTTTTGCTTTGAATTCCCTCCCTTTTACAATGTTAGGGATTCAAAAGAACTTATTTCTTATAGATTATTGTGATCTCTTGTCGATAATCTCATACAAAGTACAAAAAATTGCTCTCAATAATCTAACTTTGATTAGCTTGACAATTTTAGCAACTTTAAAGTTTAGTTAATTATAGTCCATTAACTATGATGAAAAGTCATAGTAATGGGTGAAGAAGTTGTGTGTGTGGTTAAGCTGGACCTCGTAGTGTATTTATCTAACCTGCAGCAGCTCGAGGTCAGAGGCACCTTCCTGGCCGGGAACCATCTCTGTTAGCATCTCTGACATGACTTTGATGTTTCCTCTCACTATGTCCAACTCACTGCGCAGCCGGGCAATCTGAAAGCACAGAGGGTCAAAGGTCACTTTGGACTTGTCCAGTGTCGGCAGTGCAGCAGATGTTCTTGAAGGCAGTAGACTGAGTGGCAGTGAAAGCTTGTAATCTGCTTTAAATCATGCACTTGATTACTGAATTCTGGATTAAGATTTACAGACTAACGGGCCGAATAAATAAATGAAGCTGACTTCACTTTACTGGCAACAATTACCGCAAAACATTAAAGGTCGAGGCCTCTCACCTGTTCAGCTGTTGCCGTAATGGGACCGGGCACGTTGGAGACCGGTGGGGTAGAAACAGGGGTCGGGGCAGGTTTCGGAGCTGCGGCAGCAGGGGATGTAGGGGCTAGGTACTTGATCATCGCTGGGTCAACCTCAGGGGTACCCTGGAAAAAGAAAATAATAACTATATATATTACTAATGTGCATAAACATGTGTTTGTGCAGTCTGTGTTTTTCTCTATTCTCACCCTCTGTGGTGTGTGAATTGGAGACAATGCGTCTAGGTCTGCCATTGGGAATTCAATGCCTTTCCTCTTCAGCTCCTCATAAATATGAACCACCCCAGTAAGATCAGGGCTACTCCTGAAGGCATCAGCCCAGGCCTGTAGCAACAAACAGAAAATACACACACATTACAAAGTGCAATTAGAATAAAGGACTTCATAGTTATTTTATTGATTTTATATCACAGTGTAAGTAAAATAGCTTTTTTGTTACTGTCCTGTGAGCAAAAACATCTATGGTCACAGATCTATTGCATCCTCCCCGACATTGTACACTCACTGATGGTGTAAACAGATGTAGAAGAGTGGCTAAATGAGGAATGTCCCTTTGGCTACCCTTCAACAAATCCCTATAAATATTTAGAGGGCAGCAGGAATAGAAAGAGTGAACACCACCTGCTGGCTGAACAGATCTCAGGTAAGTGGATAGCAGCACCAGAGGCTGCAGTCAGAACACCTGGGAGGCGGCGCATACAGAGGCCACTTGGCTTCTAAGCACTAAGAGCAGCAGAAACAGAGAGAGCTCTTTACCTGTATGAGCGACAGCACTTTGTCTTGTACGATAGTTGGAGGATTGGTTTTGGGAGAGATGATTTTGACCAAAACGCCATCAATGAAATCTCTGTTTGCGACCTGGATATGAAACCTGTGGCCGCAATTCTTCACACATGTTTCCAATACCTGCAGAGAGGGAGATGAAACGGAGATATAAGCCTGGCAGAATAAAAAAAAAACTGCAAAGGATTAAAGTTTGCCTGTGAAAAGCAGCAGAGAACGTGGAAGACTGTTCACAAAACGTCTCAGTCAGGATACTTTCATCACACAGAGGGGCTTTTAGCTAGCAGAGCTATCAAAGACATGGAGGGGGGTGAGAACTGAGAACACACCTCAAAAAGCACAGCTGCTATAAAAGAAAATGAAAGACAAGCAATGTCAGACAGATAAAAACTTCCCTGACGTCGGCTGGGAGAAGAGACACAGAAGAATAAAATGACCAAGAACACAAGATCAGGAGAGGTCAGGTTTAATGCAGGGTGCAACCTTTAAATGTGGCAGACACACACTGCCAAGCAATAACAGCATGGACGCAGCCTCCTGAGAACCAAACGATCACAAAATGTCCTAACACTCAAAGTCACTTTTGCAAAACAATGCCAACTGATATGTCGTTTTACCGTTAGTGCCAGCATCACTTCTCTGTAGTTCTTGTTGCCGCTGAGTCTCTTCTTCAGTGCGCGCATGGCATCTTTTGGCCTAGAGGGACACAGGAGAGAAGATACAGCCACATTTAAGGACCCCAGCTGAGAGCGGGCATAACATCTTTGTCTTTGCTGGAATAAATTATTTTTCTGTGCCATATAACACATGCCAGTCGCTCTGTCTGTGTTACTGCTTGACTAAGAATGAGAGGTATCGTCGCACCATCTGTTTTTCCTTTCTTGGTTTTGCGTGATTTTCCCAAGGCAGGATCAAAGCTGTCCATGCAGGAAGAGCCCAGGTTGGCTTTCTGACTCAAACTGTTCTTCTCTTCACTGCAGATCAAACCAAATACTAAGCTTTTTGTACATTTACTGAGATAAAGTTTCTATCTGTCTTCTGTCTATGTATAAGTGATAGAGTTAGTGTACCACATCCTTGGACAGTACTCTGCAAGGGTAAGTATGTGATAAGAGAGGGGTTCCCAAACTTTTCAGCCCACGACCCCTAAGATGCCAGAGAACTCAAAGACACAAATTGTACTTTTTTAAAATCACAGTTGAATGAATTTTATGTAACAGAACCTCAAGTCCAGCTCGGGTGCCAGGCAGACGTTGTCTAACCTGCTAAACATCTTGAAGACAAGAAGTTCTGTGTTCTGTGAAGCTGAACTCCCTCTATTACTCTCTCTCTCTCTCTCTTTCCGTCGCTGTGTGTGTGTGTGTGTGTGTGTGTGTGTGTGTGTGTGTGTTTGTGTGTGTGTGTGTGTGTCTGTGTGTGTCAGAGAGGGCCCCACATCGCATGCCAACACAATGAGTGTGTGTAGGCATGAAGAATGTGAAAAGCTCAAGGGAAAAGTGCTGAGGGGAAAATGGAAAAACATGTATTCCAAAAAAGGCCTTTAAAATAATCATCAGACTATACAGGTGTCTATTTAGTTTGCCGCACTGTATCTTAATGACGACTAAAATATTTCTCTCCAGGTGGGTTTATTGGTGTTAGAAAAAAAGTAGAACTCCATATTTTACTGTACATAAAGCAATGCAGCCTGATTAAAAAGAATTTGCAACATTCATATCTACATAATAATGTTTATGGCTTGGATTTATTTTGCTAAATGTTTGAGTAAAAAAGCATTGTGTTGAAATAGTATTGATCATGATGTACTGATAATAAAAAATGATTTGTAGAATCTGTCATATAAACCATCGTAGGCTGGGCATCTTTCAGTGTAGGAGGCTGGAATAAGAATGGTATTCATTCAGTGAGAGACACCTCAGGAAAACAATAGGCTTTCTGTCGTGTGGTGTCAGTTGGTGAAACACAAGAGTCAGTGTATTAATAGCTTCAGTCATCAGTCAATCAGTGTGACGTGAAACAATCGAAGTAGGAGCTCACCCTTCTTCTGTCTCATTTATGATATCACAGATTTCCATGTTGAGGGTCCAGTCCTCGTTCTGCAGGCCTCCATCTGTGGCCCTCTCTGGAGGAAAACACAAACAGTTCAACATTTTTATTCGTTGGCAGCACCACTAAAGTTTTTTTCAGATACCAAGATAATGTTTTAAGGTGACTTTAATACTGATGCAAGGACAGAGGAAGCCGATGAATGTTTTTGTCACTGAAGAAAACTTTAACCTCGATACCCGATCCACTGTTTGAAGCTGTCTCACTAGCAAGCATGATGCTGCATTTCAGTTAGGCTTGGTTGTCGCCCGTGCTAAGTTGATGAACACTAATTGAAGCAGCCTCTGGTTTACATAAGGTTGAGAGTAAAAACTGTTGTGTAAGCAAGTCAGCATGTCGTGACAGATTTCTGTGCTTTCAGTTTCTCTGGTGTCCCACATTTAGTCAGTCAAACATTTCATGTCCTCACTTAACCTAAAATAAACAACATGACAACCTTTTTCACCTATTCAAATAAATATGTATGTCTACAATATAAAACTCCTGAAATCTTGCCATCAAGTGTATGGATGTCCATAACATCTATTTACAGTAAATTAACAAATAATTAATTGGGATTATTTACAGTTCTAACTTTGGCAGAGAACACCATTTGTTAGATCCCAATCATTACACTAAATAATGAATATTGTTATATTATTGGAAAACAGCTTGTGCATGTGCCTCTTCATTAATATTTAGTGGCTCTGTGAGGATGTCTTTAAACTTGTTGATCTCTAAACTGACTATGACCTTTAAGAAAGCAGCCAGTCACTGATGACAACTACTTTAACTAAAATACAGACAGAAATTTTTTCACTGAGGGAAATTTGACAAAATGACTCTTAACTAAAGTAAGTAAGTTTAAAATGTTTAATAACTTTATAGTAAAAGCCTGAAAACATCTTAGGGGAAAGTGAAGTTTATTGTGTCTGTGTAGTCGGTCAACTGATGTAACAGATAAAAAACAGCAGCCACAGAGACCTGCTCTCCCTTTCACACTCCAACCTACAATTTAATAGCATTTTGGTGAGTAATAATGTGATCCAGACTGCGGGAAGCTACAGTGATGAACTGGCGCTGCAGTCATCAATGCATTCCTCGCTCCATCTCCTCCTTCCTCTCCTTTCCCCCGAATCCATCCATCATGTCTGTGAATGCTGATATCTTTCAGGATAGCAGTCAATTGGGGTGAGATTTTCCAGAAAACAAAAAAAGAATCTGTTTCTGAAGCTGTGACTGAGTTCCCGTGGCTGTCAGTCAATAGATTCTCATTAGAGGATTCCTGAGCTTGGACAGGAGGAGCTCCTCTCTCTGAAGCCCAGGGGCCCTGGGCAGGCTGTCATGCCCAGACCAAGAACCTTTCACTGGGCTGTGTTGCCTTACTTTTGGGATGCTCAAAGTTGGACGAGCCTGATAGCCGTGACTTATTCATGCTCTACCTCCCCTAATCAACTTCTCACAGACAGGGAGCAACAATAGAGTGACCGGCATCTTTCTTGGGGCAAACCCTCATCTACAAGCACTTTCATGTACAAAAAAGAGTGAAATTAAGTGAAGTTGAGCATGAGTAGCACACTGAGTCTTGGTGTTTGGCTGTACACAACATATAACGTGAGTTTGGAAGAATTAACCAGCCACTTCCACTAAAATATCCCATGTAATCCCCTCAAGTGGATTGTCAGGTGCAGGAAGGGTATAGTATGGGTGGCAGGGAAGTAAAAATATCTGATCTCTTCATGTGAAACAAACTACAATGACCTTGAACAATCAAAACCTCTCTAATGAAGTTAAATGCCTGCTGAGTGCTTTCAGTCGTGGTGTTGTGTCAATCCCCCAAGTCCTGGGATTCAACATCACACCAGTGAACCCAGTTGATCACATGGCTTTAACCAGTGGCAGGCTGTGCCATGCACTGCCAACAAAGCTACAAATCCCTGTCCCTGTCTGGCACCATCTCTCCATCTTTTATCCTTTAAGACTTTTCCTTACAACAACAGTTTTCACTTGTCCTCCTCATTTGTTTGCTTTTTATTGTACAGAGCTCATGATTTGTATCAGTTTCCCCATGTTTGCCAAAAGTTGGCTGCAAATTCTAGTTATGTTCAGGATCTATCAGCTGAAATGTGTGACTGCACCTCTGTATTGCCACTTCCAGAAATGCATTACTTCAGCTCTCTGTAATAACAGCCCTGAACCACTATGTTTACAGCCATAGTGACTTCACCATTATGCTGCATCATGAAGATGAGAGTAAACATAAAAGAGAAACTTCTTGATATGCAGATATGTACATACGGCACACACCTGCGTGCATCATTCACTACCTCTAACCCCTTCTCTGTCTCTGAATAAAACCCAGTGCATCCCTCATCAGTTGCTCTTTGTCTCCTTTGCCTGCCTCTCTCTCTTTAATCAAGATGAGTAAGTTGATCCCTAGCAACAGCCAAACAGACTCAGGATGTAAAAGTCTGCACAGTGCAGCAACTCAACCAAAAAGATCAGGAGATACCTGGCATCTCTGTCCAGTTGGAAAATCCAACTGGCCCAGAACAACTGTGGGGAAAATGCCAGAGACGATGCTCAAAGTTGGTGCCTGAGGGCCGTCTTGAATGGCATGGCACACAGTAGGTGGTCACTCAGGCGCTCTACTTCTAAAAGTCTTCTGTCTTACAAAGTTGCATCAATGAGCTGGAGTAAAGTGCTGCATGGTCATCTACTTTCTATCTTGAGAAAGTGGGAAAAAAAGTGTAAGAGTAAGAACATGAGAAAGTCTGGGCTTCTACACAGATGTTCGTTATTTATAAAAAGAGCAGCTTGCTCCATGACAGCCAGGAAAAAAAGACGTAATAAATAAACAAATGCTTCTGTGACAGCTGTTTACAGCTGGATTTACTTAAACATAAATCTGCAGAGGGAGAAATCAAGGTTTAGTTCACATCTGTTCTGCAGGAGTTTAAATAATTCTAAAAAAAGAAGAGAAAAGGAAATGCCTCTGGAATGAAGGACTGGGCACTATATCAAGATAGACAAATGTATTTCTATATACATTCAAAGGTGCAGTGTGACAATCGTTGCAAATGAAGCATCGACTTTAACTGTGTGGAGTGTGTGCGAATATAAGTTACTGCACGTGTGTGTGTAATTCAAATAAAGTGCAAACATTTAAAATCATTTAAACACTGTGCAGCAGCGTCAACGCAAACGCTCACTAAGTTGTGTAGGTTAGCAGGCTAACATTAGCTAGAGGCTCAACCCGAGTCGATGACGTTTGCTGCGATGATGCTACCGGCTAGCTCGCGATTAAACCGTGAACAAAACCCCGGTAAAAAAAAAAAAAAACACCAAATGAAAACCCACGCTTAAATTCCGTGCGGTGGAGAAAGTGTCACGTCTTTACTGAATGACCGGGAGGCTCACGTACCTACACACTGACCCACGGGAGTGCTGAACGGATTCCCGAGTAAAAACTCCATCTTGACAACAAACAATCCGCTCAGGACCTGGAGTGACGGAGGCTGAGGCCCGGAGGAGTCCCGCCCACACGAGAATCCTATTGGTCGAAAGGTCCAGAGACCTCGTTACGTATGGCTACAAGTAATGTCCGTCACGTTTGGCAACCGAAGCTGCGTTCAAGACATGTTCTTAGAAATATTAATATCCGTTCTACTTGATGGCGCAAAAATAATTGTGTGTTTGTGTAAATATATATGTATAAAATATATGTGTAAAGAAATACACATTTGAAATGAACTCAAGCATGAATAATCTTAAATATACTTAAAAGCACATAACAAGCGGCTTGTTAGTGCACATGTTGCACTTATAAAATATATATACTTAACCAAAGAGAGAAACGGTGCACGAAATCTTAGTTTGTTAATAGCTGACATATTTGAAAATATATATATGTTGTTATGACATAATAATCAGCCAAGCAAGTATATTTGGAGGTTGAAAGTTTATTCCTAACCAATTGACTTGACTGCCCTTGAACGCAGCCTGAAGCGAGTCGGTTGCTAAGTGACAGTGCGTAAACGAAGAATTCATCAAGGGGCTAAAACGTGGTGTAAGTATTTTGCGTTGGTAAAATAACAGTAGATGAGATTTCAGCTGTCCCCGGTGACTAGTTTGTTTGATATAGTTTATTCAAGTTTGAAGAAGTGGTCACCGTTTACTTCAGATGTGTTAGATTTCGTTTATTCTGTTATTTTAGAGCTCATTGAAGTAAAGCGACCCAACCAACAGGAGCATGAGCTGGCAGTGTGGTGCAGCTCAGCCCATATTGATGGATGAGGAGATTGTGCGGAAGGCAGTTGATGAGCAAACTCCTCGAGATCAGGCTGGGACAATTGCCAGGGCGGAGGGAATACACTTTAATGAAGTCCTCACTATACGTCTGGACTTCAAATGTAAGAGCAAAATTATGAAAAAAAATATCAATCAGTGTATGAAAGTGAATTGTGCTTAGGCATCATCTGTTCACAGACATCCTGAAGATTGACAACTTGTGGGACTTCACATCCTTGACCAGGCTTTATCTAAACAACAACCTCATAGAGAGGATTGGGGGCCTGGAGCATCTGGTGAATCTGACATGGCTCAGTAAGATGAAGCTTTGTATTTTCATTGTTTATGTAATGGTTCAAATGGTGACAAGCACATTTAGAGTCCAGTAACTACCGAGAATAACCAACATCATTCTGAATGTGTCTTTCAGATCTGTCTTTCAACAGAATAGAAAAGATTGAGGGTCTGGAGTCTCTGCGGAAGCTTGAAGTTCTGAATTTGTCCAACAACAGAATCTCTGTCATTGAAAACATGGATGGACTTGAGAAACTCTCTCATTTCAGCATCTCAAACAACCTCCTTGAACAACTGGATAATGTAACAAAAAAATCCCCTTACAAATCTGTCACATATATGATATGCATATGCATCAGTATTGCATTTAGGTTGATGCAACATTTGTGGACTGCGGTATGCTTATATAACTCTAATGTAATTCTAATTAATTTTAAAGGTGCTCTCCCTCACAAAATTCAAGAAACTGTTCACCCTCAACCTATCTGGAAATCCTATCTCAAAGGAGGATGATTACAGATTCTTTATTGCTGCCTTCTTTCCAAACTTGACATGCCTGAACTTCAGATTGCTTAGTGAAGAGACAGTAAGTATAAACAATGATACATTAGTAATCTACTGCAATCACAAAGTTTTCTGCTTTTAAGCAAACATATTTTACAGCTAATTTTCTTAAAGCCATGAAAATGACCAAGGCTTTTTGATAATTGTCATCATAGGTTTTTCTATCTTTCCATGTTGATATTGTATTTAAAAAAAGCATGTGTCTGTGCAGAAAAAGGAAGCATCTATCAAACACTACACTGCCATTGAGAAAATGAGACAAGAAGAGCTGCAGAAACAACAAGCTGATGATGCTGAGCAAAGCCGGAAAGCAGAACTCCAATTACACACAGTAACTTAAAGCTCTTGTTTGTGATGCAGTCATTGTCCACTGAGCGTTCAAACTTGCAAATGCACAGGTCAGTTCTTTTTTCCTACAGGACGCCTTTGTGGAGTTCCTCAATGGTTCTAATCTGTTTAAGAGCATGTTCAAAGACGATCCAGAAGCGGACACACTGCAAAGTGTGACAGGAGTGGCTCATCTGCTTCAAACATATCCTTTGATTCTTGGCTTTCTAATCCATGTTGGTGTATTAATGACATATTCATCTGGGATATCATTCCTTAAATTCCTTGACCCAATGCTTACATTTGAGCAGCAAATGGTGGGACTTTGTGTGCAGTTATTTGAAATAGGCTTGGCAGAGCATAAACAAAGAGAGGCAGAGTTAAACTCCTTCCTCAGTGGTCGCACAAAGGTTGTGACAGACCATCAGAAGAAAACATCACAGATTTTGGCAGAATTTGAGCAGCAACACCAAGAGGTGAGCTCGGCCATAAATAGTGTTTCTAAAGGACTTGCACCGAGAAATTAAAACATTAATAACTCATTAAATCTGCTTTAAGGAGATCAACGTCTCTAATATTCATGACACAAGTGAATTTCTCTGGTGTGGGATCTGTAAAGTTTATCTTTATTTTATGCCTTTCAAGAGGATGGTGGAGTTGCAGCAGTTATCAGAACCAGACAAACTGCAGGTCAAGATCCACCACTGCAATGATGCAATCAACCAGCTCTCTAACAGCCTAATGTCACTGGAGCTTAAGCTCAACAGCCAGCTGGCGGTAAGTGTGTGTGTAAACTGAAAGTCAATTGCGGAGTTGAGCTGATTCTCATGTTACTGTGTACAAATTATTATAGATGCTGTAGATTTAGATAAAATACTATTTTTCTCACTTCAGGACATCATCACAAAGTTGGACATCAACATCTCAGACATGGTTGACAGCTTCACTGAAACTGTGCAAGGGATATATCCTTTTCATTTTTTTTGCATCATTTGCGATAACGTTGAGTGAGTATTGCTATAAATTAAATGTTTATTATATTTATATGAGAGACAATATCAAGCTACATCTTAATACAATGCAAGATCTAACTCTGTCTACCCTAGTCTTACCCTCACTTGTGAACAAGATCCTCAGAAACCACCTTCGCTTTCATCCAATCCTGGATTTGATCAAAATTGAGTCCCATTGTGATTTATTAAGTCCTGTGTAAATGACACCTTTAACACAATCATACATTTGCCCAATGTCGAGATCTGGAGGATAATTATCATCAGAATGTGCGAGATATTGCTTTAGCAACTCTGGAGAAGGTGGCCTCGGACAGCGTGGGAGAGGACATGTCAGGGGACGTTAGATGGGTAAGTGTTGTCTATTTTGAACCAAACTGGCTAAATGATAGGATTATATAATAGTCACTGTAGGCTGCTATAGCCTCAAAGTAAAAGCACTGATTATATTATATTACTGTCTGCACACTCTGCCATGTTGACACACCAGTGTTATCCTACAACCACACATCTTAAAGACCAGGTTTGTTTTTTGTCAGATGATGCAGAGACATTGGTCATTACCAGTATCAGTGCCCTCACCCCCTCGTACCTGTGTTCTCTCTCTGTAGCTGTTTACAAACAAGAACATGGTGATGGACGCACTGACCACCGGCCACGATAACCACCTGCTGAAGATCAATGACAGAGAGACTCAGATGCTTACACGTGTCAATGCCTGGAAAGTGTCCCTCATTAAAGGGGTAGGGAGCTGGAATTACCTTACAGCGAGCAGCCCAGTTCAAATTTTCATGATTGACAAACCTCTCCTTTGCACCTCACTGTCTTATTGTTTGATTTTGTTTTTATTACTTATTACAGATTCAAGACAAAGAACTTAAGCGGAACCACACGTGCATCTCAGACACCCTCAAGCATATGGACCATTTGCGGGAACAGCTGGAGGAGTTCCAGTGGCAAGATCTTTGAGGCAGACATTCATTTCATTCACATACTTGTTATTAAAATGTGACAGGACATTCTCACAACCTTCTGGGACCACTGTCAAACAACAAATATCACTGTGTTCAAGAAACAATATTGTTCAGTTGTTTTATGTATTTGTTCCATAACCAATAACAGATTTAGAAATAATTTCACCTGTTAATTCAGTCTCTTTCTACCTTTCTTGAGACAATAAAGAAAACTGGGATATGAATATTTAGTCTTGTTGAAGAGAAGCAGATTAATTACCTGCCAAGGAGGTTTTGTTTTCACCCTTGTTTGTTTGTTGGTCGGTTGGATAAAAAAAAACCAAAAGACCTAAAAGCTGGATAATAATTAATGTGTCTTGATGTTAAAAGAATTTGATTATTGTGGGTAAGAGCAAACAGTTCATCATATAATACTACACTGTCCGAAATATGAGTAAGAAAGAACGCAGCTGATTGTAAACCTTGGCAGGATTAAAGTAAGACATATCCTACGAAACAAATCAAAAAGCAAGTGTTGTCGAATACTATGTTATCTTGGAAAAACTAGTATAATGGAGGGAGTTTGTTTTGTTTTTTAACTCAACAGAATAGATAATATAATCATAAAACAGCCTGAGCCACACTCCATACCAGCTGGTGGCGGTAATGCACCGAATGTTGTTTGCCACCGTCAATAAACACAAGAAGAAGAAGTGAACCGAGAGAAGAAGAAGAAGAAGAAGAAGAAGGAGGAGGAGGAGGTGCTGCGGTGCTCCTCTCCAGAAAAAGACCCAAACCTGAGCAAAGTTTCTCACCTCCTTGATCCATGTGACACTCCCAGACACTCCTCTCTCTCGCTGCGGCTCAGTCGAAGAGTTCATGACGGTTTCGGACAGTGACTCTCTCGCGCTCATCATGCCTGTCCCAGCAGAGTGCTGCAGCAGCGCCGAGCCGGCCCGCTCATCCTCGGCGTCCCTTGTCCCGCCTGCCCCGATCAACACCCACCAGCCGGGGGTGGCCACCTCGCTGCTGTACAGCGGCTCACAGTTCCGGGGCTACCAGAAGAGCAAAGGAAACTCCTACGACGTCGAGGTTGTTCTGCAGGTAAGTTTCCGCTTCGTCCCCACATCGATGTGTTTGTTTCTCTATCAGTGAAGTCGACATATTTGTAGCCCTAGCTGCTAACTCACTAACTTAGCAGACGTTAGCTCCCTTAGCTCGCTTCGCTGACCCAAGTGTGAGCCAGCTCAGAGGTCTGTGTTTCTGCTGGGCTGTTTCATTTTGAATTTGGACCAAATGTTAGTGAACTTTTTCGTCAACTACTTTTGTAACAAACACACACACACACACACACACACCACCACCAGCACCACCAAAACATGATTTGTGCAACAACCTGCTCCAATGGGTGAAATGAGTGTGTCCGTCTCATTCTACCTATTCTCACACTTCTGTTTACTCTGTATGTATTATGTTTATTCCTGTTATAAGTGTTTAAATGTCCTTGCATGTATAATGATTGCATGTTTACTTGACTGTGCTCTTTGCTGCTGTAACACTGCCAATGTCCTGTCTCCTCCGTGGGACTGAAAAAAGATGATCTTATTTTATAAACAGAAGACAAACCGCCTGCTTGCACACTTAACTAGTAATTTGTCTGTTCACTAGGCCTAGTGCCATTTACAAGTCGTGAAGAAGAAGAATCTCTACAATAAGTGATTTCAGGCCAGTTACTGTATGTGTTCCCTGTTTGTCTTTTTGCAGCATGTGACTGTGGACGACTCATATTTGTGTGGCTACCTGAAGATAAAGGGTCTAACTGAGGTGAGATGTGAAACTAGGTCAGATATTACAAGGCTGACCTTTATTCCGTCAAAGACAGAGCTCGGACTGTGCACACTGTTCCAGTAGAGACTGGCCTCCGCTTGTTTGATGCAGACTGAATTGTGACAGAGATTAACGGCCGGCAAATACGTGTGTAGACTAGTCTTTTTTCTTATTTTCATTTTGCAACATGTTGTTGAGAGAAGGTCAGCAGGGTCTTTTGGCTGTGGAGTAAAAGATGAATAGCCTGGTTTCGTCTTTATGATTTATTCATCACATTTTAGTATTTGTGAAAATTTAATCCAATGGAACAAATCATTTCTAAATCAAGATTTCCATCACAAATACTGATATCTTTTCTTCTGATGCGTCGTAAATTGCCTGCTGCACAACACACAAGCAATAAAAAGTCTAAAACTCAACTTGGTGTCAAATATGATACGGTAGATCTTAATCATGTTAATGTTTATTTAATGCTACTCCACCATCATTAAAATTGCATGCATAGTTTGGAACGTCTCTGTGTTGCAGCTCTTTATCAACGATACAGACATTATCATGCTGTAATAAAACTATAACCAAGACCAACGTGGAACTAATTACTGTTTCAAGGGTTATTCTCTACGTCAGCTTATCTTCAATAATGGGGATGTTAAAGAAACAGCATATTCCATGTCTTGACACAGGTCTTTAAACTTCACTCATTATGGTCTTCAAAGAACCAAGTTTCACTGCATTGTTCTTCCTGTCTTAACCTTTGTTTCTCTGTCTGACAGGAGTATCCCACTCTCACAACATTTTTTGCTGGAGAAATTATTAGTCAGAAGAGGCCTTTTTTAACCAGGAAGTGGGACGCAGATGAGGATGTGGACAGAAAGCACTGGGTATGCTGTGTTGAGTTTTTTTTGTGCATTCACTGATTTATACATCTTCAGAAAGTGCAAGATATATATAATACTAGTAACTATATCAAAATCACAGGTTCAGAGTTTAGAATTTAGCAGAGTCTAATGTTGAGAGACTTTTCATTAACAAAATCAAACTTTACATCCTGATTTGTTGTTGTTGTCTTTTTTTCATCCCCTTAGTTTCTTTTGTCATAATTTTTTTATGTTTTCTTAACTAGGGCAAGTTTCCACCTTTTTACAAATATGCCAAAAGCTTCAACTCGGACGACTTTGATTATGAAGCACTGGATAACAGTGATTATGTCTTCATGAGGTGGAAGGTAAGTGTGTGATCTTACTCTCACATCTCTCCCTGTCTCTCTCGTGTTGGTGTTAAACTCTAACCTCCGCTCGTTTTGTCCTGCGCCGTCAGGAGCAGTTTCTGGTTCCGGACCACACTATCAAAGACATCAGTGGTGCCTCCTTTGCAGGCTTCTACTACATCTGCTTTCAGAAGTCCACAGCTACTATCGAGGGCTACTATTACCATAGGAGCTCTGAATGGTAATTACTTCGCCTCCTTGTTGCCCTGCTGCAGAATTCCAAGCTAAATTCATCGATTTAAAGAGAACTGTTAATATTTCTTTTGTCAATATTGCGCTCTCTCTTTTTTTTTTTTATCTTGCACCTGCAGGTACCAGTCTCTAATCTTAAACCATGTTCAGGAGCACAGTGTGCCCATTTATGAATTTCGGTGACACAAAAACACAAGTGTTCAGCAGAAGGTAAAGGCCAGTTCACACTGCCCTGTGCTTACATGGGACGGGAACGACAGAGAGCTTATGATGCCATGAAGGGGGATGACCTGTTTTCCTAACTGTGGGGAAGTAAACGTGAAGGCAGACAGTCTACTGATGGAGTGAAGGAAAGATGGTACAGCGAGACAGAAGACCTGAAAGCTAAAAACAGTTCTCACGGTTGCTGTAGAACTTGATGTTTGCCCCATATTTCATTTTTCATTTCTTTCTCTGTCCGGTTTTTATTTTCAGTTTTGTGCAGCGGCTTCCTGTGCGCTTTCACAGAATCTGTCTCCCTGTAGCTGGACATCAATTCCACTTTTCCTTTAGCGGAGACATTATGAGCATAATTTGCCTTTTAGTTAAGAGTCACAAACGAGGGAAGTTGTAAGAGAAGTTTTTCTCAGTAAGCTCTTTTTAAAACATTTTTTTTTTTTTTGAGATTTTCAACAAAAGCAATGATGAGCAAAGATCTACTTTTTTCTGTGAGACAAAGTCATGGTCTGATGATCAGGGATGATATGAACTCGAAATGGTCACAAATAACTAATCATTTCCAAGCTGCTTGGTTTTTCAAAAATCCTCTTATCAATACAAACAGTCTGTTAATCGCTATTCATCGAATTTTCGCTATGCAACACTCACGAATGAAGGTTTTTTTTTTCCTAATTATTTTATGCTAACTTTATGCCGGTGACAGCCAGTGGCTGGAGGCATTATGTTTTCAGGTTGTCCCTCCATTCTTGTGGGCAAAATATCTCAATAAAATCTCGAGAGAGAGTCCTTTCAAATTTGCAACAAATGATTCGATTTTGGTGAATTAAGGTCAGGGTGGCATCACAAATGGAAATGTTGGCCTCTTGAACAGGATATCTCAAGTCTGGCTTTAGGAGATTTCGACCAGTCGTCTTTTGGACTTAAAGATGCTAGATTGCAGTGGTCAGAGGTCACGGTGACCTCCTGTGTCTGGAAAATAATTGTATGTAGACTGAAACTGAACTGGTCGGTGGAAGCATACAACCACAGGGTGGTATTTTTAGTTTTATTTACAAGAGTAAGATATTTATTTTTTTAATCAAGAGGAAAAGTGTATATGAAAGTTAAATGGAGGGATCAGTAAGGAGGCGTATTGGTTTCTAAGCTCAGATGCTGAGTTATGTTTTCAGGAGTTTGGTCATGTGAAAGATGGAGCAGAAGAAGGGAGATCTAATGGCACACATGCAGTTTGAGTGAGTGGAGTCTGTGGAGGACATTTGAGTTTTTCCTCGGTTTCTGTCGGTCACTGTCACATGTAGAAAGAGTTCATGTGTGGCTGCACTGGTTTATTTTAATCCATTTGAGATTTCAGCAACGAAAGAAGCACCTTGTGTGGCTCGGGAAGTGTTGCGTTGGAAGAGGTGATGAAGACAGAATAAAACCCACTGCCTTACAATTTTAAAGTTTTGTAAAGTTGCAACCCAAACATATGAGCTTGGGGTTATATGGTTAGTAATATTTTGTTCAAAGAAATCAGTATAGAAAGTATATTTCTGTGAGAGAAATGAAAGCTTTTCATCAGCAGTTTACTGAGAAGTGTTGCTGTCGGTCATCTGCTGCAGAGTGCATGTCCTCTGCCTGCCTGTGTGTTGCTCGTAGCCTTTCAGCCGGCCTGCTGGCCTGCAGCATGACACATGGACTGAGGGGTTGTCCTGGGGATACTCTTGACACTATACGTTTTTTAAAACCCAAGAAAGTGGATTGTCCACTTTACAGTCTGAATGACTTCAAAATAATTTGCTTGCTTTTTTTTAAATTAATCAACTAAATTGAAATGTGCATTGTAAAGAAACATGTTTGTTTGAGAGTGTGTCTGTAAAAGTCAGC